ATCTCAAGTAGCTCCACAGTCTCTAGACATTTGGTGGGAAAATAGTACAAAACTGTGATCTGCAGTATATATAAAGGCGTCTTTTAAATCAGTTGATTGTTTTCTTGTTTTGTTTTGTTGATTTATTTTGCTTTAGGAAGAAGCACAGACCTGTCCCCCAAAGAGCTCCCGTGTATGTGGAGCAAAGTGAAAATGGCCATGATGGTGAGCAGCAGTTATAGTTCGCAGTCTATTAATTGTGTACAGCACTTTCATGATGTTTGCATCACACTGTAGGCTAATATTTAAATTGTAACAGTCAGGATTGACATTGCATATTACGAAGTTAAAGCTAAAAAAAAACTGGGACTGCATGATAATACTCATACATCTTTTACAGTTGATGTTGTACCCAAACCATCTACACTTGGTCGAAGGAGTCCTATGCCTCTTTACGTTCTCAATGAAGATGTAAGTCCTTCTTTCATCTGGGGAAAAACCTTTCCAGCAGCTCTGCTACTAAACTGTCAGTTGGTTAATAATAATTACAACCTCGTACAGTCACGACTATGAACATAGTCCAGCTGATGTTCTGCTACAAACTATGTCTTGATTACATGAGAATCACCGATGAAAGCCCACAGCTGTCACACATGTGTCATCATCTTATTTCAGGAGAGCCTGGAGCGACTGGAAGAATGCTCTGGCAATGCTATGAGCCAATCAGAAACGAGTCTCCCCGCTACCTACGCTTCAGTCCCGCCTCCTTCCTCCCACAGAACTGATCGACCAATCTGGTCCACCCCACGCAGATACCCTCGCAGCTCCTCTCCACTCGCACAACCACTTCCACAACCCCTTCCAGGTTCCTCCCTACGCCCTGTCCGCTCCCCTGCTCACTCCCCGGGCTCATCTCCACGCAGTTTCAGTCCTGTGAGAAAGGTCCGTCCTCCTGTAGGCATCCCAACCGGCCACCTGCCTGTGGAGGTGGAATGTGCAGACACCAGCGATCAGACTCACACCCCACCACAGCACTGACAGCTACTCATGTTATGTGATGTACATGTATAGTTTGTTGGTTGTGTTCGGCCATGAGAATAATGGATCTGATGCACTAGGGTAATAGATGAGTTCACTTTCAGCTAACTTTCTGTCTTCCATTATTTATCATCTATTTCTCTGTGGCTATGCACAGTGTTTCTCTGGTCCTTTCAAAATATATCCTCTCACAGGAAAAGTTATATCCTGTCCACCAGCATGTAGTATATAATGTATATGATGCTGAGACATTAAAGAGTTTCTGGGTCTGATATATATTTTGCTCCTTGTTGAGTTATTATTGGGAAGTTTAAGATGTGACTGTACAGTTTTTGTTTGTTGTTATTTTTCTTTAGTCAGTTAAAAGCACACCCTGTATCCTTATGCCACATTAGGTCACTGTGTAACTAAGGTAATAAAAATTATTTAAATAATTTGTAGTTTGTCAGCAAGCGATCCTTTTATTTCTATCAAAATCATAACTGCTACAGATGTTCACTCTTCTTTTATGTCTTGCCTGATATCTACATAAACACTTTATTGTTATGCTGGCTACACACGGCACAGAAGAAATAAAGACACACCTTCCTCTTTGTCTTTGTAAGGTAGCTGAACTCGATGTACCGTTCTGAATATTAAGTGCAATACTTGTCCGCTCCATTAGGTGTCACTCAAACATTTCCTTGAATACTTGAGTTTTATGCACTCTGGCAGGAAACAATTTAAATAGTACAGATTTACATCTAACTGTATTTTATATGATCTGTTTTTCATGATAGTTTGCTTTTTTTATCTTTGTGGGTTTTTTGTTTGTTTGTTTGTTTGTTTGACAAACTCATGAAGACTATTTTGCCCCTTTGTTTTGCCTAATATTGGCAAGTGCAGGTGGTACAGTGACAGCGACCTTTGTTTAACCCATAACTATATCTGCTTCAGGTATGAATAATATGAGCTAACTGACTTTAAAATGAGCTATTTCAAAAAGGAACTTTTAATTTATGTAACATAAATCATATTTTCCTTGAACCATTTGTATCACATTTACCCTTTGACTCTCACTTTGAATAGGTGAAGGCTGCATTACAGACAGGCATGCAACATACATGTACAGAATAGCCACGGGAAGCTTCACCAACGCTGTGAGTTCAACAGATGTGATGATGCTTTTAGTTAAATGCACTTTGCAAGATTTACTTATAAAGGTAAAAAGGTCTGAAAGGAGAAAATTAATTTTTGATCCTGGTGATGAGACTCGCACACACAGAATAAGCGGATGTGAGCTTGTGAAAGTGTCTACAAACACATGCAAACAAAGTATCCCGGTTTATCACTATTATCAAGATAATGTGATCCCTTCAGAGGCCCAGCTGGGCATCTTTTGTCATGAAAATCTGCATGATTTTACTGATTGCTTTTGAACTGTACCTTCCCTCACTGAAGGTGTGAGTATTATGGTTGCATAAGCGAATCAGGGGCCGCCTGTTTTGATCTGGGCTTCGTGGTCTTTGTTCTGTTTGAAACACCATTTATCACTTAGCAGGCAGGCTCATGAATACACATGCATCATGGGATTACGCAGCGAGAAGAATACATGTGCATAATCACATGTGTGTTACAGTAAATGGAAAATGAAATATCCTTTGGTAGTGAGAACAGGCCGTTTTTATTCAGCTGTGTACTTTGATATCACATATTGATTATTAGTAGCACAGTCTGTCCCATCATCTTCCACCTGTTCTCCAGTGGTTACAGAAGAGCTTAGAAGTCAGAGCAGTAATTAACCTCTGGGGAACAGCGACCCGTCTGTCTGCAGAAAGCATGTGTGTGTTTGTATATGCAGTAACTGAATAGAGAGGATGTGTGAAGTTTTCCCAGTTTATTGAACGACCACCTCCTGCTGCCTGACGGAGCCTCTGTTTTTTAGCACCTTTCTTCACACCAAGCAGTCAGTGTGAAATTCTCTGTGGAGGAAGGTGACATTTTACTATTGGAAAGTTCTTATCCAGCTTTTTTTCTGAATAGGCAAAGATCTAGTGAAGTACTGACTTTGGCTTCGATATACACAACTGTGCAAAATTCAGAAGGTCTTTCAAAGGTTGGACATTGTTTTTTTTTTAAGTCAGTTAACACGGACCTATGAATGATTCAGGACACCTTTAAATCTAAAAAAGACATCTAACTCAAGGGACAAACAAAGAAGCAAAGAATCGATTTTACATTGACATTCTTAAGTGAGGGAAACGGGGAGAAAAGGTTGAGTTTGCCAAATTACAGAAGAACTGGACTGAAAATCAGCAGTTACAGGTCTCATAGCATTTTATAAAATTTTCATTTACACAGTTTGATCCATAATTTCTTGGATAAAGACAGTTTTTATAGTTTTGTGTCTGTACGGGACCACGGTGGATTTTAAATAATAAGCACGATGGGACTGAAGTGCTCACTTTCAGTTTGAATTTAAGGGGTTTAACACCATTTGATTTTATTTCATTTTCTTGCATTCACTGTTTAGGATTTAAAGTCAGACATGTGACAGCCTGGCGACCTGTCCAGGGTGTACATTGCCTCTCATACTATGGCTGCTGGGCTTCAGCCCCCCCATGACCCTGGATGGATGGATGGATGAATGGATTTAAAGCCATTATACACAGTCCCCCATTTTCAGATGCTCAAAAGTAATCAGACAATTGACTAACAAGCAGTTTTATGCCCAGATGAAGATTATTTTATGACAAATGAAGCAAACATAATGGCTTGGCTTACTTCAGTCCAAGTCCACACAACAGTGGTGCACATTCTTAACTAGATTTATTTTGGAGAGGCTCATGAAATATTTTGCTAAAGATTAAGAGAGCGTTTCCCAGCAAATTTAGAAAATAAATCCATACAATCTGTTCTGGCTTCTGTGAACCACTTTCCCCTTTAACATTGCAGAGTTTCTGTGACCCAAAGAGTCCCTGTTATCTAAAAGTATACAAAAAGAGATCAGAAAAGATAAGACAAGAATTTAAAAGATGCGACAGAGCTTTATTTATTTATTTATGTGTCATTCCTCCACTCATAAGCCCTAGAATATATCCCGCAGCTCTTTGGGCCTCAGTAATACTTTTGATACTGCTGGATTAAAATACATGTTTAACATGTTTGATAATTAATGCATCTGTTCTTCTTTACAACAGAGCCGTTTTGATTTTAACTACTTTGTCCTTCAGGGTTATATCTGCTTCTCTTTCTGAAGTTTTTCACCTTGGAGCATTTGCAGTGAAAATCTACTTGTGCAGTATAGATAAACAAACTACAACAACATCAAAACTTAAATCAGAAATGCACTACATGAAATGCATCAAGCCTGGTCAGTCAATCTTTTACATGGCCTAAATGTGAAAAAAAAAATGTATGAAATCATTGTTTTGTAGTATTTTAGTGTTGCTAAGAAAAATAAATGTGCCTTGAAATCTTCCCAAGTGCCCTTCTGAACTCATCTGACCAAACCCTCTGCAGGACCTGCCATTAAAAATAAAGAAGATGAGCCGACTGAGAGGAGGAACACACACGCTCACACATATTCACTAACACAGCACAAACAAGCTCACTGGCCGACTCAAAGAACAAGGTCATTTGAAAATACACCCCTCCTTTGTTGGACATTTAGTCCCCTTGATAAGATATACTTTTCTAGGATTTTCCACGTAACCCTGAGTCCCTAATCAGAGTTTTGTTTGAGCCCTGTGTGCCTTTTGGCCCAATAACAACCGCTGTTGTTATTGCAACTGTAATGTAATTTTTCAGACAGGAGTGGCATAAATAAATTATCTTCAGTATCTGATGATGCTTTTGTGTTTTCCTATAATTTTCAGGGGATTGGACGTTGTAGATAAGAGGTTCAGGTAAAAGCCCCTAAAAGCTCCACGCCACTTAAGTTCCATGGCAACCAATACAAGTACCAGTTATCTTCATATTACTCCATACCCCTCCAGCTCCCTGACATGTACCCTTCCTCACCAGCTTCGTCGCTCCCAGCCTCTCTCTCCTCCTCGTAGCTTTCCCTTTTGCATGTGCATCGATTGTGTCTGAGCATGTGCGCGTGCATCTGCATGTGAGTCAGCTGCATCCTCAGCACCTGGGTCATTACTTCCAGCCTCCGCACGGGAAGCTTCACTAACGCTGTGAGTTCAAAAGATGTGATGACGCTTTTAGTTATTGCAACTGTTTTAATGTTAAATGTTTCTGTTTTATTGGAAGATAATTTAAGTAACTATTTGACTGTGTTCATTTTTGTTTTATACACAATTTTATGTTTTTCATAGTGATATTTTGTATCAGTACTGTTCTGTTGTGACCATTTTTTTTTGTTTGTTTTGGTTTTTTTGCTGTAAAACTTGTTTTTTGGTAACTATCATGCTTTTATAAGCTCTGCAGAAATACCCTGGTGGTTCCCAGGTTTGTCAGGACTCCAACACAGAATATCTGTGGGTGTGTAAGAGAGGAGAGGGAGGCCAATATGGGTTCCAGCTCTTCCTCCTATGCCCCCAAAACTATTTACCTGGATGTGGATGGAAAGGTGCAGAAGGTGAGTCTAATTTTAAATATTTGCATTATCAATATTACGGATCCATTTTTCATTGGTTTAACTCAAACCCTTACCCCATTTCAGTGACTCGGTTTTTTATTATTCTATCGATTTTAGGATAATAATTAGAATTTCATAATAGGTTTAATTGTTAAAACAGCAATCGATAACTATTGCAGTTAAATGATTCCATTTATAATTCACCTCCTAGGCTTTCCTACATGCAAATTCCCAGTGGATACACTTCAGCTGAGGAGGAGCTAAAATTAGAGAGTGATGCTCATCAGTTTGCTTCACAGGTGTTAATGACAGACCCAAACACCTGTTTGTGAAGCTCTCACAAACCTTCGTTAATGTTTGATGTTGTACACAGAACACAATATAGATTTACATCTATCTATCTATTCAATTACATTAACATTTCAATAAGCAGGAATTGAGTTAATAATGGAGGGCGATGTAGAAACGGGAAAAAAAGCACAGATTTTCTTCAGACTCTTAATCATAACAACAGCAGCTGCCATGGCTAATGCTTTCAGTACACACACTGAGATTTGCTGATCTGGTGATGTAGAGTTCTTCTGGCGATGACATGTCTATTCAAAAGCCCCAAACTCACAGCCTGAGGCTGATTGTTTGTCTGCTACATCTGCTCACTTGAGATTACATGGATAGATGCACACACTTTTGACCACCAAGTCTCTAAGCAGATTTTGTAAACTTGGTGCTTGTATTTTACGCTTAAGTTTCATGAACTTAGCAAATTTATTTCTGCAATTTGAGATCAATAAAACCATAAACTTTATCCACCTTTTTAATGAACAAATTATTTTTTTTATTGTTCCCTGGTGTTTTTGACTTATTTAACTATTAAAAATAATTTACTCTTACCTTATGTTCCCAGGTGATGACACAGACACTCTAAAGCCTCAAGCTTCAACTGTTTGTGTGAATGTGTACCTGATACAAAAATGGCAGCACTTTTTTTAATGTTTGCTTTTGAGAAGACTCATTTTACATGACTGTAACTGACAACTAATTTATTTGATCTATACCTGAATATGAGAATAAGATGTGTATCTGAAAAAATAAACCAAAGCAGGAGCTGTGTTTACATCACAGGTGGTGTTCAGCCAGCATTGCAGCCCATGTGACATCAAGGAACTTCTGTGTTCATCATCTAACATTCCCAGGTTTGTTGTTTAGTCTTACTAAAGTTACAGAGGTTGAATTCAAAAACAGCTTTATTGCTGAGCTCTCTCAGAACACACTGAAAGTTGCTAAGCAGGAAATAATCCACATTTAATTCAACACAGGGAAAACACACACACAGGGATACTCAGACAAAATATACACACAGAGGACAACGAGGGAAAAAGGCCACAGGCGGGAACACAGCTGACACTAATCAGAGACTAATGAGACCAGAACACAATACAAAGGAGGCAGGAGACTATCAAAATAAAACAGGAAATAACACACACTGAGACCTAGACTGAGATACATGAACTTGACACAGGGACTGGCCCACTGAAAAGTTACCATGAAAGGATAAGGAAACCAGTTAGGAGACAGAGAGACCAGACAGACACTGAAATATAAAAAGGGAAACAAAGGATAATAAAACACGGAGACTAAACAGACTACAGCAGGGAGACGCTGATGACAAGACGGAGACGAGACCAGCAACAGACTGGACTTGAAAGGGAACTTAATGTAACAAAACAAGAACCACGAACAAGAAATAACAAACTGAAAAACAAAACTCAAGACTAATAAAGAACTAGAATATTAAAATCTCTTAAATCCAAAAGAATAAATCACAAGACCAAAATAAATGTAAAAACTGGGTCAAAGACCCAGGAACATGCCTGTCAAATTATGTCACAATTATGCTTTTTAACAGCAAATAATAGAAATATTAATACAATTAGTATATGTGTCTTACAAAAGGTTCAAGTTTAAACTTATTTCCACAACTGACACACAAAAATAAATAAATAAAGCTTAATTTTTAAAAGATTTTATACATATACAGTGCTTAACAAACTTACAAGAGCTTCACCCAATGTAAGAAGTGACCATTATCAAATTCATTTTTATATTTATGTAATGCTTAAGCCATCAATATATACCAGACTCTTTAATCTAAATTATATTCATAATGCAAAATTTGATTATTGTTATCCATGAATTTTCAAATGTATTGTTTACAAAAAAGCAGAAAAAAACAGTCTAGAGTGATGGATCAAATTTGGATATAAAAACATGGAATAGGCTTGTTACTTGCCTAATAGATTACATCATTTTGAGATTTAAACATGGTTTTGGCAAATTTTAAAATTGTGTTTCCTTGTTTTATAGCAGGAGGATAATAAACAATTAAGTATGTAAATTATAAAAAGTCAGTGTGACTCTCTTTCTTTTCCTCATCTTACGACAGGAACACTGCCATTATGATGGTGGATCCAGAGGGTGCCTTGGTCTCCATCGATCCAACCATGCCTACCAACTCTCCAAAGTATTGTTAAAGTATTGTTAGGCATTGGGATATAATTACTTTCGGGAAAGTAGCAGAGTAATCACGATCATTATCATCATCAGATCTAACTAGCTGCAAAGAAGCTTTCAATAATAGCCAGATAACAGTTGCTTCTCAAATTTGCATGAAGCAGTGTTTCTAAAATTGAAAAAGACTTTAAAACCTTGAGGAAAAGAAATAATAATAATTGTACATCTGATTTCCTCACAGCTCTTTGTACAAAGTTGTTCCACTGTCTACTCCTCAGCTCGGAGGTAAAGTGTTTCAACAGCTCGGTGTAATGTACATTGAAACATCACATGTTTTTCAAAGTAATCACTGTAACAGAAAGTAATCAATACCCAAATATGACAACATAATTGCTTATTGAGACTATACTGATGTTTGCAGAGAAGGAGGACATGTTTCAGAACGTGCTGTCCCAAGTCGCTGAGCAGTTCAGCAGGTAATGTCTTCATCTTTTATTCTTTCACACGTACCTAACCAGTGTTGGTCAAGTTACTTGAAAAAAGTAATTACTAATTAATGATTACTGACGGAGTCAAACTCAAAGTAATGTCAGTACTTCCAAGCTTTAAACGCTGCATGGTTGTACTCTCTCCCGCACTCCATATTATCCATTTCTGATCTACACACGTCTGTTGCAGCCCCGGACGTCGCACACTTGTACGTCATTGTCATGACACACTTACAAACAATCATGGTTTAGTAACGCAGTGTGCTTACGGGAAAGTAACAGTAATCTAATTACTTTTTTGAAATAGAAATCCCTTTCTTTACTCATTACTTGAAAAAACTAATCAGATTACTGCCAATACCTAACACACATATCTGACACCGTGGTATTTCACTGACAAATGCTCAGGCCTTAGAGGCAAGTTCAGTCAGTTAGTAAAAAGAAAAATACAGTTTAGTCAGGACCAATATAGTCAAAACAATATTGTCAGTTCCAGTAATTATGCACACAAATCAGCAGCAAGATCCATGGTGCATAACAAAGCAGGCATCAGTGACAGCAGATATCACACTGATAGTCAGAAATTGCATGAGGAGGAAGAAATAGGGTGGAGGCTGGTTGCAAAGCAGATTGTAGATATGCAAACTGTAGGCACACTAAAGCAGCTTAAACAATGTGCTCTGTATACTGATTTGCCGACAGGATGCATATATAGGCTGCATCGTCAGCTGATGTTGGCTTGTTTTCTTTATTTTTTCGTTCAATTGCACCACTTGAAATTCTCCATAAAATTCTCATATTGTCATTTGCCTTTCCCTCACAGAGCCTTTCGCATCAATGAGTTAAAGACTGAGGTCACCAACAGGATAGCCATGTTGGAAAAGAGGGTAGAGTGTGAGTGGTCTATTTAATACAACTAGTAATACGTTAATGTAATAGTATCGCTGTATGTATGCTTTTGGCTATGAAATTAAAACGATAAAATGCTTTTATAAGGTGTTGTAAGTACTTAAAGGTAAAATTGCTAGTCAACATGAAGACATTATATCATGTATGATTCAAGTTGTTATGATGTAATTATTATTGTTCTGAAATAAATGTCATATAATGCTTTCAATAGGTGTTTGTGCTTTAGCAGATAATTTTAGCATGTTCCTAGGTGGTTGCTAGGCAACCTGATAAAATCAAAATATCCGACATAGATAAAAACCTTAAGGAGCCTAAGATGTACTCGTGTGCCAAGTTTGGTTGCTCAACTCCTGATCATGTAGGTACTTGACAGTCAAAGGAACAAGTAGACAATCAAGCAAAGATTTTGTGTGTTAAAGGAAGATACAGCTGAGAGGATCTGAAAGGAAACATCATTTGGATTGACTATAACCTGCAATATTCCAGAGGGAACACATTCCTTAAGAAAATATTACTCTTCTTGTTTCAGTGGAGGGCTTGAAAGTAGTGGAGATTGAGAAGTGTAAAAATGAACTGAAGAAGCTTCGAGACGAAATGACTTCAAGAGGTGGTGGCAGGTGAAGTCTGATATAAAGCCTCTACAATTTCAAAAGTTATATCAAAAGTTAGTTAGTAAAAGAAAAAAGGGAATACGTCTCAAATTGTTTTCCTTCTTATCTCAGGGTAAATTGTCCATGTAAGTACAACTTCTCTGATGATGGGAAGAAGGTCACTCCAAGACGAGATGTCCCCAGTTACCCAAAGGTGTCTAATCTATGATAAATGTTTTCTTTGCTGTTGGACAAAGCACCCTTCTTAAGATATAATAGGTCTTTGATGATCTGATGGCTTTACTTGCTTGGCCGTTGCAGTACACGCTCTCTCAGGAGACTATTGAGGCGCTGAAGAAGCCAACGTTCGATGTATGGCACTGGGAACACAACGAGGTTTGTCAGTTTCCTTCAACCACTTTCACTGTGTCATCCAAATGACTGATGTTTGACTTCTTTTCTCTTTTCTTATTGCTGTAGATGCTGAGCTGTTTGGAGTACATGTACCATGACTTGGGACTGGTGAAGGAATTCAACATGAACCCCATCACCCTGAAACGCTGGCTGGTAATAAAGGACAGCAGGGGTATACTGGGTTATACTAAATAATGCAGAGAGTTCAGACACAGATTGAAAAAGAATTTTTAAAGGGCACAACCTATAAAATGCTTTTAATTCAAGACTCTGCAGTGAGCACAATGAATGAATAATTTTCTGCCTTTCAGCTGGCAGTTCAGGAGAACTACCGTAACAACCCTTTCCACAACTTTCGTCACTGCTTCTGTGTTAGTCAGATGATGTATGGCATGATTCATCTCTGCAATCTGCAGGTATGGTGTAGTTTGCGGGTGTGGATGTGTATACGCACTCATGCATTTCAAGTGTATAATTTGTCTGACTTTTCCAGCATTTATGCCATTTTTGCAAAATAAAGATCATTTTTATGATAATGATCATTTACATTTTGTAACAAGCTCTTTCATTTACACTGCTGACCAGGAGAAGCTGACGCTCACAGATATGGGCATTTTAATGACAGCTGCAGTGTGTCACGACCTGGACCACCCGGGCTACAACAACACGTAAGATTCGCTATTCTCTCTGTAGGGGGTGTTGATTGATAGAGCTGCACATACCTGTTGACCCCCGGTATATATATTGACATCATCTGCACAACACTTGTTGATGGACTGTGAAACTAGTTCTGCATGGAGAGAACTCGGTTATGTAAACATGGCAATTCATTTTTATCGTATTTGTTTTGGGCTGTGGATTTCAGGCAGGCGAGAATATCTCTTATCAGAGAAACTTCATGAGAATATCCTATCCATCCATCTTGAGTCCATCCATTCAACAATGTCTTCCATCTATCAGGTACCAAATCAATGCACGCACAGAGCTGGCAGTGCGCTACAACGACATCTCTCCGCTGGAGAACCATCACTGTGCCGTGGCTTTCCAGATCCTCTCTCTTCCCGAGTGCAATATCTTTGCGAATGTAGATCCCGAAGCATTCAAACAGATCCGAAAGGTTAGACAGGCATTCAAAACTATTACTAGTACAAATATATATTTATGACAAGCATGCCATTTCATTTCAATTCCTACAAACTTGCCACATATTTTCATGTTTCATGTATAAGCAGATGTCAAGTTTACTTTGACTTTGCTCTTATGCTTCCAGGCAATTATCGCCCTCATTCTGGCCACCGATATGGCTAGACACGGAGAGATACTAGAGGCTTTTAAGCAAAAAGTGGACAACTTTGACTTCACCAATGAAGAGCATGTGACATGCGTACGTAGCCTGTGCATCATGGAGGTCATGTTGCAACTCTGCTTGACATAGGCTGTTTCTTTTACTGTGCTTAACAGATGTGACCTCAGAACAAACAGACTCATAGATTGTACTGTAATTTGCAGAAGTGAAACTGGTTGTGTTAGTGTAATTGGGAAATTGGTTACAGAAATACAGTGAATGCTGAAAGACAAAAGTTTGCATTTTACTTTTATTCTCAGTTTGTGTGTGTTGTGCATGTGTTTCTACAAGTGTATGTTTGTTTTTTCAGCTGAAGATGCTTTTGATCAAGTGCTGTGATATTTCCAATGAGGTGAGGCCAACTGAGGTTGCTGAACCGTGGGTGGACTGTCTACTTGAGGAGTACTTTATGCAGGTGACGCCAACCAAAGCGCTGATGTTCATCAGTAAATCTGTGATCTAATAATGCCAAATTAAAGCAAAGAATGAATACACTGAACTTAATAACAATACTTTGACAAATTTGTTTTCCAGAGTGACAGGGAGAAATCTGAGGGTCTCCCCGTCGCTCCCTTCATGGACAGGGATAAAGTTACCAAACCCACAGCTCAAATTGGATTCATCAAGTTTGTCCTTATTCCAATGTTTGAGACTGTCATGAAGGTATAACTCTGTCTTTCCAGCTATGTTCAGATGTACAGTACTGTGCAAAGGTTTGATGAGGTTTCATTCAACCGTAGATCACTCAGTTGAGGAACCAGACATATCTCTTAGGTCTTGGCATTCAGATACTATTCATCTACTGAAGTTTGTTAGGCCTGTCACTTCTTTTGTCCTCCACTTGTCCAGTTTCTATTGCTCAAGATCACTTACAAAAATCACAAGAAAATTTGGCACCTAGGAAGCAAATTATAAAGAAATAACAGCTGGCTATTTTGCATAGTACTGTAAACAGATTATGTTAAATTTATACTGTGGTATTTTCCACTAGCTTTTCCCTCAGATTGAAGAACTAATGGTTCAGCCTTTGAGAGACTCTCGTGACCACTATGAGGAACTGAAGCAGATTGATGATGCTATGACAGAGGTAAAAACCTATTCTATCCCTACTCTTATCTATCTAGCTCTTTCTCTGACCTGACATTAATGTAGCAGCTAGCTAATGTGGCTATTTTGTGTGTTTATCACGATAGTGAATGGAATCAACAGTTTATAACAGTGGGGACAATGAAAGTTGTGGTTTGGGAAAGTAATCTAATTTTCTTTCTAGTTTAAAGTTAGATAGGTAATTAAATTTTCTTCTTTTCAGTAAATTTATTACAGCTAGCATACAGACACAGCTAGCTTGCCTCTGTTAGCTCGTTGCACCTGCCTACCTGAAAGCTCACCTTATACTTTAGAAAACCTTATATGGTTTATTATTTTTGAAACCATACAAAACAATGCCATACTACACTCAGTGGCCACTTTATTAGGTATACTCTGCTAGTACCAGGTTGAGCCTCCTTTTGCCTGTAGAACTGCCTTACGTTCAACAAGGTACTGGAAACAATTCTTATAACATCTTATGACATTTCTTTTTTTCATGTGCATATTCATGACACACTTCTCAAATACTCAGGCTGGTCTGACACCAACAACAGTGACACATTCAAATTCACATAAATCATCGTTGTTACTTATTGTGATGGTTGGTTTAAACTTCAGAATGTAATTTTCACTGCATCTACATGCCTAAATGTATTGTGTTACAGCCCTCTGATTGGCAGATTAGATATTTGTGGTAATGAGCAGTTGAACAGGTGTACCCACCAAAGTAGCCAGTGTGTGTATTTCTTCATTTCAGCCCTTACAGGCAAGTCAAATCAAATAATTTTTGTCTATATTGTCTATTGTCTGCAGCAGTATTTAGCCTTTGCATTAGTATCTACATGTAGACTGTTGAAGAAATCAACAGAGAAGTTGCTGAGTCTTGTATTGATATCATTTTTTTATAAGCAAAACTTCATATTGTGAGTGCAGCGTGATGCAGCGTGCAAGACTGGGAACAATACCAGTTGAGCATGTACTTGTCAAGCAATTAAAATTAACTAATGTTGCCATAACAAATTAGAGCTGGGGAAATTGGTAGGAATATCAAAATATGAGATATTCCTCTCGCACGAAAAAAATGAAAACTGGTAAACAAATTCATGTTGACGTCCACAGTGCCATTTAAGCTTTCCATGGGAATTACCGATCACTGCCAGTTTTCAGTTATGCAATGTGTTTCACACGGCTGTTGCCTCAGTTACACACACACACACATGCACACACACACAAATGCCTGCAGTAAGCCTACATTCATACACACACTAAAGAACTAAATGCTAACATAAAGGTGTGTCTTTTGTTCAATGAGGCACAGAAGAAAAAAACTGAAAATATGTCATTAGGCGGGAAGAAGAAGTAAGCTCTGCAGTGAGTGAGTACAGTGGTGTGTGTGTGAGTAACCGAGTCCTTGATTGTGCTTTAGTTCAGTGTTAGTTTCATGAGTGCTCTCTGTCTCTGCCTCTCTCCACAACTTGTCTGTAAACTGAACTCGATCTGTAAAAGGTGACCTTTAGAAATGTGCAACATTTTCATCACTTTGGATTCAGCAAGCACTTGATGTGTGAAAAAGTGTGAAGCTCTTGGCTGAACAGTATTAGAACAGATTACAATTTATTTTTAAACTGAGCAGGAAGAAAAAAATTTAAAATTAATAAAATAGTCCCTTTAAATTTAAGGCTTGCATATAAATATATTTTTCCATGGCTCAGATGATGAAACTAAACTGTTGAAATTGTTGCTCATCTATTTGTTTCTTTCACAGTGACAACAAAGAACAGTTTCTGTTCATGAGCTGAAACTTTAAACTGCTTTTTCTTCATCTCACATTGAGCTTTTTCACAGAAAAAGAACAAAGACTCTGAGTAAGTTTTGACTTTCCACAAAGGGAAGTCAATTTCTCACTCAAAGCTCTAAGACAACTTCTATCCGACTGACTTTTTCTGTGGTGGGTGATTGCTATCCAGAATGAGTTACTAACGAGTTCTTGTTAAAATCTAGTTTTTATTTTGGCCCTTTAGGTCCATCTGCCTCTCTCTACCTAATTACAGCCATTATTTCATTCCAGGGATCATCTTTTATGATCACATTCAGGACAGACTTAAAAAAGTGTGAGTGAGGCTCCAGTGAAGACATCCAGCACTATGTTCCAAAGATGACAGATCTGCTTCGTTACACTGCTTCGTTACACTCTGGACTAAAATTAGGCATCAAGGTGGCATATCTTGAACTTTGACTTCTGCACTGGAGGTTAAAGAGCGGGACCTGCTGATGTTTTTGTATATTTATAGACTTTATAATGCTGGCCCTAGTCATTTTCATAGTGTCGATCATTTTGAACGTACAATTTCTCCAAAGGCAAGCTTAAAGCATTATTTTAAGATTCATTTTGAAGTAGTTTACCAATATTTTTTTTCACCAAAATAAAAATGTTTTCTTTTTTCACTAAATTCTGGAGTAGGAAAAATAAAAAGCACCAAAGTGAAATTTTCTGTGTTTTCCTAACAATTTTAATCAAATAAATTCATATAGGGGTATGAAGTGTCCAGTGTTTTTCCTAATTGTTTACATATATAGCACCAAATCACAACAACAACAACAGCAATGCGCTTTTGCATTGTAAGTTAAAAGTCCTTCAATGATACAGAGAAAATCCCAACAATCAGATGACCTCCTAGGAGCAAATATTTTATGATAGTGGGAAGGAAAAACTCAAACTCCCTTTTAACAGTAAGAAACCTGATCCAGGAAGAATCAGGGTCAGGGAGGGGCGACAACTGCTTTAATAAGTGTGGGAAGGAAGACAAGATAAGACACACTGTGGAAGAGACCAAGAGATTAATAATAACTAATGATTAATTACAGAGTAAATGTATAAACACAAAGTGAGTGAAAAAGAAACAGTGCATCATGGGAAACCTCCAGCAACCTAACTTCTGCGGTGTAACTAAGAGAGGATTCAGGGTCACCTGATCCAGCTCTAACATATGTTTTATCAAAACAGACATTTTCAAACTGATCTTGAAAGTAGTTAACGTGGTGCTTTGGGTGTCTGCTTCTCAAATCCAAACTGGAAGCTGGTTCCACAGAAGACAGGCCTGAAAGCTGAAGGCTCGGCCCTTTTACTTTTAGATGGCAAAAAAAAGCAGTCTACTAACTTTATGTAGATTTGTTAGAGAAAAGTTAAAGAAAATAAACCAAATGAGCCTGGTAAGGGCTGTAAAAGTGATCATGAGTCGGATTTTGGTATGCAAGATGTAAAAATATCTGCTATAATACAGTTTTTATTTATCTATTTATTTGCAACATTACTGCACATTAAATACACCTCATGCACAAGGACAGTAACATACTGAATTAAGTTCATATTTCAATAACTATGGTCAGGAATGCAAATCCAAACTTTCTCACAAAGTCAGCTAATGAATAACATGACATGATGACATTTTTCCTAACTTCTAAGTCTGCTTAGTTTTTAAATATTCTCAAATTAAAGCACATTAAAGAAGTTATACATAGTTATAAATCAAAGGCTTCTGCGACACCTATCCCTGAATTATTCCTGTTGTTTCATGAAGCTCTGTGCAGATATTTAAGTTGTCCTCTCTGCCCATCATCCAGATTGAGTGATATTTTATTGCCACATTTTAGACTCTAAAATACAGTCGATGTGTGTTGAAATATGACTAATTGTGGAGTTGTGTACGACCCAAAGGTGCCAATTATCTCAGCCCAATTCACGCCCTCTCGCTCCACAGTTTCCCTTCGAGCCTACTTTTTTTAAAAACTTTTTTTAGGGTACTATGTTGCCAGTCACTTGATTTTAGGCCTCATCTGCAAGCTTCATTTGACACATACTGAATACCACCTACATAGCTTTGATGAAATCACATAAATAATACAGAGCAACTCACAGCATCACTCACCAAAGAAATTATTCATGCTGCATGTTTTTTAGGTTTGTTTGTGCTGTTTATAAGAAACGTCAGGCTACCAGTGTATACCTGAACTCAATCAATGTCCATTCAGCAATTTACTGACAAATAATTGGCGAGTACTTTTTGGATTCATCTAATCTTTCGTGTGCACTCCAAAGGAGCTGATTATCTCAAACAGTAGAACAGATGTAAGTGTTGCTGCTGGGATGAGAGAAAGCAGGTAAATGACTTGGGGATGTGTCTCATTTCAATGGATGTAATTGCCCCTCTACATTCTCCATGTAGCGTGACAGAGTGTATTGACATTAACCTGCAGGAATGCTCAGATCATGAAAGGATTGTGCACTGCACTCTCCTGCGTTGCCTCTGATTGAACCACTGCAAGCAATAAATAAAAGGAGTGACTGTCTGACACGTTGAGACAGTGTGAAATACTTTTTCTATTATTATTGTTATTCTCTCAGTCGCTTCCTTTCTTATAACAACTGAATGCAAAAGTTTTGGTTAAATCCCTTATTTTGCCCATACATGACTGACGACATAGTTGAACCTTAACCAAATCTACTAAACTTATCATTCAGTACACTATTAGATGTTTCCATGACTTCAGTGCTAATTAAAGTAACTGATATCTAAAAGCCTTTATACATTTTCTGCGCCTGGAGGCTGGGCGTTACATCGTGTTTAAGTCTCACAGTACTTGAATGGGCCTTTTTGTTGATGTGAAAGTAAATACTGTGTCTTTCTAAAACACCTCGAACGCAATTAAATGAGTAAATGTTTAACTAATCTTAGACTGCACTTGCACAATATTGTTTCCTTTAGTTGTTCCAGCCTTTCCTGCAATATTGATTCTTCTTTTCTTCTTCTTTAGATTTTTCTTCAGGTTCTCAGCTTTTCCTCTGATTCTTCTTTTTCAGCTGCTTCTTCTGATTCTGCTTCTTCATTTCTCCTTTTCCAGATTCTTTTGCTTTTGCTTTGCACTTCTTGTTTCTCCGCATCTCCTTTTTTTGATTCTTCTTTCTTCTTCATCTTCAGCAGATTTTATCTTCAGTCTTTTTTGGATGTTTTGAAGATTGTTCATCTTCTTCCATCTCAGCCTTCCTTCTCTAAATTTGGTTTCAAACTCCTCAACCCAAGCTCCTATATACTCATTTCTAACCCTGTCCTTTCTGGTCAATCTGAACAAAACTTTTAGCACCTAGTTCTACCACTTCCCGGACAGCCTTCAATCTTTTTGTCAGCTCGACTGTCTCCAAACCATACGTCATAGCAAGTCTCACTATCAATCTTGCAAACCTTCCCTTTGACTTTCACTGTCTTTCTTTCCTTGGTAGAAAATTTGTACCAGTTTTCAGTGAAATTAGCACAATTTCTGTTTTCTACCTGTTTCTTCACATCAAGGAGTGACTTATCCAGTCAGTTTGTGTTTAAATCCATTTGAGTCAATGTTGATTCTACCACCTGGGGTGCAAATGGTGCCAAATCTTGGAATACTACACACAGTGGCTTTAATTTTCATTATTTTCATTATCTATGATTTTGTAAATCAGTGCAACCGTATCTAAGACAATGTCAAAAAAGGTTATGAGCTGAAAATTTAGCACTTCCCGCAGCTTTATCTCCAAATCTCCAAATCATGGATCACAGCTGCTCTGGTGGTCTCACAACTCCTGATCTTTTAGCAAAGGGAAAGTTCAGGAGAAACTAAAAGGTAATTTGATCCAGCTCAAGGTTTCGAAGCTAGTTTTATCACCACATATCAGATCAAAGACGATGTGAGAAAAAAGTATACAGGAATGTTGATTAGAATTGATAAAAGATTTATTTTGTGAGGCAGCACAGAGCAGAGTGAAATCACGTCTGTGGTAGCAGGGTTATTGCGCCCTCGGGGTGTTTTTACTGTGTCATTAGCCTGTTTTGACTTGTTAATAATGGAAATAGAAATGGGTGCAGATTGATCAGAAAACTTTGCCTTGTTTATTACTATAAGGGCTTCAAGAGGCTCCAAAAGAGCTCTTTAAGTTGCATGTTTGTTCTGTGAGATACTCATAAAGGAGACAGATTTACAGATGCAGTATGTCATCCTCAGTTTTGTGTCATCCTTTTCTTACTCACTACTTTCCCAAGTCAATACACCGTGGAAAATTCCTCCCAGCTTGCACCCATCCAGGGGTTAAGGTAAGGGCATTTGTGTGTGGATGTGTGTTTGGGAAGCCTTGAAGCAGGAAGTGAATGATCCACCACACAGTTTCATGGAAAACACTAATACATAACTGGATTGCATGGAATTTTTTTTTTTTTAAATGCTACCTGGCTTTTTTCTTTCCTTACTGCCCCATTTATCCATTCTTCACCATGCAGTTCCAGGTTGTCGGGCAGTTTCATAAGAATCTGAAGAAGGTCAGTGTGTGACCGGACAACAAGGCAGCTCAGACTTGTTTTTTGAGCACACACATCCAGACAGTTAAAACATCATGGCTGTCCCATTCTTCTGACTCCCACATTCACAAGAACGCCAAGCTCCTTGCTTGACCACTGGACTAGAGGAGACAAGCTAGATTTACTGAAGACAGTTACATCCCTTCCAATAATGCTATGCAGTCAAAGGTCAGGCGTGACAGTCAGCCTTAAATTCTGGTCCTGCATTTTTGTGTTAGACACTGAACTGTGGGAGAGTAAACAAAGAGCTGTGTCAGTCAGTGTAAATCTGGGCAACAAAAAAACCAAAAACAGCCATGGTTGGAGGGAAATCTGTAAATCTGTTTTTTTATTTAGTTTTCTTGTCTGACAACTTAGGTGTGTTTAAATACAGCACGATGTAATGTATTGCATAAAAACCTAAATAAATATCTACCAATGTTTTCCTTTTTTGTAATGCAAGATGAAAATGACTGCTTTTACATGTGTGTTATGATTCACAGATCATGGTGGCTCTTTAAAGGCATGAAATCTACGCATGCAAAACTATACAACAACATTTTACTACTTTATGATTCACACATCTTTATTCCCACTCCTGTGTGGAGAAGCTGGCATCACCAGTATGGGAGAAACAATGATTTTTTTTTTTTCATTATTGAAAAACTCCTCTGCTATTTTCTCTCGAGCCATCCAGCGCTCTGATTAGATCTTCTGGCATGCAGGCTCATGGCCCGGGGGAGTTAAAGGAATAACTTGATCCAAAACCTCACAGGTTAGCTTCTTTTACAAGCTACGACCTCACACATTCAGCCAGAGGCCTCTGAGACACCTGCACTACATCCTGATAAAACAAGTCTTAAATGTAACTTTTCCATGAAGTGTTGTCTTCAGAAACTGAAAAAATAAAGAGTTGTTACTATTATTAATTTGCAGTTGCTGCATTACCAAAATGATTTCGAACTTGCAACTTGAGCAACAAAAGCAGACGTTATTGGCATGTTACTCCGTTTTTATTGGCTGGTAAAATAAAAATTGCAAATTATATAGAATGTGTAAAAAGATGGGATTATAGTACTAGAGGTCAGAAGACATACTTTTAACCAGCTGCTCTCCATTGGAGTTGCTTTCTCATGTGTCATTCATCATAATTTCATTTGTCAACGCCACTCCATGCAATTTATCTCTTTTAGGTCACTCCAGACTTTAACTATCAAAGGCAGCTTTAGCTTGAGTAAATATTGGAAGATCTGATTTCCAAAAAGCTGTGCACATAGAGGCTATCTCAACTCAAGTATCGATTTCCTTCATACCAGCATCGTTTGGTTTGCAGTCTTGGCTTTCTGGGCTCCCACATGCAGGCATAACCTCACTGTTTAGCACAGAGTTCTTCTGTCTTGATACATGTTGTCAGAGATTGCATGGATTGCTTGTCTGTGTTTTTTTTTTTTGTTTTGTTTTTTGTTTTTTTTGGTCAGTGTTATGTAAGAATGTGAACTTTATACAGACTTTGGACCTTTGCATAGTTGCAAATGTCATATGTGCAGAGCGTCTACAAAATAAATACAGAGAATACAAAGAAATATTGCAGTCAGCATTTCATATGCATTACTGACAGAAGAGGAGTTGTTTTGAATTTCCAGACTTTCTGTACTTTAATTAAAAGCTGGATGCAAAAAAAAAAAAGACATTGGAGTCATAAAAAACAGCTTTCATGTATTCTCACATTTACAATTTACAGTCCTCAAAAAATAGACATTTTACTGCCTGGTTGTTCTTCTTGGGAGGAGCACTTAAATTAATAGTTTCTCCCGGCAATTACAGCCCCAGACAAACACAAATGAAAGGCATGAATTCGAAAGCGCCAAGCAAAATAAACTGGTGTGATAATGTAATCATATTCATTGTTATTGAATAATTGAAAAAAAAAAAAAACAGATCCATTTATCAGCTGAAGTGGAACTGATTGGACAGGATTTTGTATTTTTGTTTATGTGCCACACACAGTTTGTCAGTAAGTAGTAAGACCAGTTGACATTTGGAAACGCTGATCCCAGCAAATGAAAGAGTCTGACAGTTCTCTAAGGGAGAGAACTGGTGGGGGTACCAGTTTGTTTACAGCGCGATAATCTGGAGCAGGCATCTTGATTGTGTGCTGGCAGAACATCAGCGGCCGTGCCGTGACTGCGGGAGCACGCAGCGATTACACTGGCCTCTTATCTGTATGAATAGCAGGCCTGTTACAGCAGAAAGCAGGCTTAATGAGAGATGAACATATGGAGTACGGTGACAAAAAAGGCCACCAGCCGGAAGTATCTTAAACTCCTGCATCAATAATCTGAGCCTGTGGCTATGGAAGTGGGTTAGGGCTTGGTTTAATTCTAATCACTATTAAAAAGATGATTTTCTACTTGTGTAAAGATATTGTTCCAAAATATAGTCTGGTTCTTGATAGGCCTGTATCACAGAAAACGATGCCATATTCCACACTTCGCAAAACTTCGCAAAAACAAAAGTTTGCTTTGTGTTTGCCCTCAACTGCTTAATTTCCCTGGTTACATGGGGACAGATACAGAACAGTATCTATTATGAATCTATAATAAACAATACGATTGAGTATGGATACTCCATTTAGCCTAATTTTGAACTTTTCGAGAATTTAACTTCAGAGCTGTATGTGAGAACACACATTTCATGTTTGCGATTGGACATTAAATGCACTTTCATGTACCCACATGAGGACAGAGCAGGAAATTCACACAACTCAGTATGTCCCCCATGTGTCCACCCTCCCATGCACTAGTATTTCCAGTAGTGAGGACCCATCTGTCTCCTGTTTGTTGCAATACATGTGAGAAGTGTGCGCAGCTTTTGGACTGTGTACCAACTTTGTTTTAATGACAATGCCTAAAGACTCTAGTCTTTTTGAAGCTGGTATCTTTCAAAAGCAGTATTATTGATATAC